AAATTATTTAAATCGAAAATGACCGAAAAAGATGCTAAAAATGCTGAAATTAATGAGAAAATAATAAGAGTAGAAGAGAAAAATGCAAATTTGTCACCGCTTAGTTTACCATCTGTTTATTAAAGCCAAACTGCTAAGCAATTAGCCAAACCAGGTTTTGAGTTGTGTAGTGCAAGCATTAAAGCGTCATTTTTGTCATGAGTGTCAAAGTTTTGAAAAATTAAAGCATTAAAGTCATGAAAAATTATTCAGTAAAAAGTCTGAGAATGTTGTAATTTTTGGTTTGCCTAACTCAGAAAAAAGTATAAATGAGGAACATATGGTAGATGACAAGAACATGGTCAACAAATTAATATGTTTTCTGAATAGATGAATAATAATAAAATCAACATCAGAATAAAATCTAAAGTTCTCTTGGTAAACATTACATCAGAACCATTAGTTATTGAATTTGAGAATGAAGTAGCATGAAACAAGATGCTGTTTGCAGCAAAGGAGCTGTCAACAACTTACAAAAAAAAATGTACAAAAAAGTAAATATAAATGACCAGATCACACTCCTAATGAGCAGGCTGAATTTGTGCATTTGAATTAAGTAAGAATAAAGACAAATGAGGCAGATCAACCATATGGATTTGTCTTTAAAGTGGCAAATTGTTGTGTATTGTGGCACCAACAACAAAAGACAAAAAGCATTGAAAAGATTAAAAGCATTGATGGCTAATATCTTTATCAAGCATATAGAGAAAGAATTGGAAAAGGAGTTGCCATTTATGTAAATAAAAAACTTACAAATATAGAAATTGTTTATCCGAATTTTAACAGTTAAAAGATTGAACTAGCCTGATACTCAATAAAATGTAATAGTTTTCATTTCATTGTTGGTTGTATATACAACCACCACCAAACTGTACAACTGATTACTCAAAATCGATTCTAGAATCAATCAAAATTGCTTCAAAACTCCAAATGGCCAAAAAATACATGGGTCTCATTGTGGTAGGAGACTTCAATTAATTTATTTGAATGAAAACTCAACTAAGCATGAATTTATTAAAGTATTAAATGATTGTTCTCCATACCAAATAGTAAATTTTCCAACATTCAAAAAAGTGATTCTGTTGCTGCAGTTAACACCCTCAACCTTGTTTTAGCTTGCAATCTGAATTGTAATGGTTTTCTTTAATTTGGTTTGCAGTTACGTCACTATGAAAAAGAAAGATACCATAACTCTATCATTTGGCAATATTTTATTAGTTTAAGTGACTTATTAGTTAAGTTTTATATTATTCACAAGAGATTAGTTTTTCTTTAAAGGGATCCCCAACTGCCAAGACAAGTTGTGTTCATATTAAAGAAAATATTTTAAAAAAACATCGCTAAATTTTTTTGATTGAAACTAAATAATGAATACATACCAACAAAATTAAAATTATCATTTTAGTCGAAGATTGCCTTTTCCATTTTTTTTTGGTTCTCGGAGTCTGTTTAATGTTAGCTGCAATCTGCAGACTTGATAATTTATTCCATGTGTGTTTAATTCATAACAGTTTTGGTATATGTCATCACAATATTTTTTTAAGATAGCATTTTTTTTGTTGTTATTTTTTTAAGATATAAGTATCTTTTATACAAAATCAAATATTTGTATAATTTTTTACTAAATCACAAAAAATATTTGTGATTTAGTAAAAATTATACAAATATATATATATTTTTTTATATTTATAACTTTTTTGCTTGTTTTATTATTACTTTGTTTTAGAAGCCATCCAAAATCATGACACAATTATACATACTTTGTGATTATTAGAGTTTATAGAGTTTTGAGATTATTAGAGTTCATATACCAAAACTGTTATGAATTACACATGCACAGAATAAATTATCATGTCTGCACATTGCAGCTAACATGCAGATTCCGAGAACCAAAAAAAAAAAATGGAGACGGGAAGCTTCGACTGAAACGTAAATTTTAAAATTAATGGTGTGCATTCATTATTTAGTTTTAATCAAAAAAATTTAGCCCAAATGTTTTTTTTAAACATTTTCTTTAATATGAACACAACTTGTTTTGCCAGTTGGGAATCCCTTTAAATAAGGTAAATTTACGCAAATGATTAAATAATTTAATTAAGTCAACTGTGATTAAGCTGATTCATGATAAATCAGCCTGTGAAATGAGGTGTTTTAACATGATTCACTTTCAATGAATCTTGTTGATTGTTTATTCCTATTTTTAATAACAAAATAGGAACAGTCAACCCTGGTTGGATGCAGAAGTTTTAAAGGTAATAAAAATTAAACATTTTCTATTTTATTTGATTGAACATCGGCAGTCAAGAATCTCAAAGGCATTCAACAAAATGTGCACTAATGTTAAAAAACAAATCAAAAGATCAACTTGAGAGTACAAAATAGATTTAGTAATGAGAGCAAAACTCACACTGAAACTTTTATTCTCATACGTAAATAAAAAACTAAACATTAAACCCCAAAATAGAGCAATCAAAAATAAAAAAGAACCAATATTAAACACTATTAAACAATATTAAACCACTGAAATATCATTCTACCCTCTATAAACCTTCATTTATCTATTTATATTTAATTATGCGGTAGTGGTTAAACAAATTAATTAAACCATTAAAATATCAAGTATTTCAAATTTATTAAATAAGCAATATAAATATTTAAATTTAAATTAGTCTATGTTAACGGTAATACCAAGCAATATCCGAATTCTTGCAAAGTTGTGAAAACCAGTGAGATTGTCTAATATGGTCAAAACGAGTGTTGATGTTATATGGTCACCAATAAAGAATTACTTAAAATGTTAGAAAGTGTAGTTGTATGTTATGTAGTATAGTAAATGTTAGAAAGTATAGATGATTAAAAAGTAATTTTTGGTGAAATTGTTCTGTTTGTTTTAAGCAGATAGTATTTTCAAATTGAGTTTTGACACTGTTTTTGACAAGTCCCATTTTGTTTCTGCTATTCATAAATGACTTTCCAGAAGTTGTGCTGTTGACAATAGTAAAATAATAGTCATAGATGAAAACAACACTAATGGTCTATTTATGTTATTCTTTTAAAAGACATGTTTGGTTCCTGTAAAAAAATGCAGTTTTATATAAAAGCTGTATAATTAGATGAACTTGTGTAAATAAAACATTTATAAAAAAAATGGTTTTAAATGTTGCAACTTATTTGGGTTTAGAATTTTAGATGTTTTTGTTTTCAAGTTGGAAAAAAAAACATTTATCTTTTTAGCTTGAAAAATTTAACTATATTCAGGAAAACTTCAGCTTAATTCAGAAAAAATAAATAGCTGGAAAGTTTTAGTTTTGTTATGTTTTTAGTTATTTTTAATGACGTGTTTCTTTGTAATTCTAAAAAAAAGTAGCATCTTTAAAGCTGTTTATTTATGTTGATTTTTCAAACTTATTTAAATTATTTAAACAAATTTAATTTTTTTTATTTTTGAATTAACTCTTATTTGCTTATAAACTATCTACTCCAACTTGAAGCAACTTAATGCCAAAAATTGCTGTTAGTCTACCTAGGTATTGAGAACTAAATTTGCTATTGAGTAAATAGAATGATATTAATGGTCTTAAAATATTAGTAATAAATAACTTAGTTCTCCATAAAAAGAAGTAATTTTGGAATAACTTTTAAATAGGCATAACTATATACTTAAAGGATGTCAGACACAAAATTTTATTTTGTAAAGGTAACTTAAAAAAAAGGGTTTTTAAAATTAATTGATTCTTTAAATGCAATCATTTTTGTATTTCTATCAAATAAAAAAAAGACAAATAACACTTTATTTTTTCACGAGTCATAAAGTTTATGTTTAACAGAGAGAAAAAAAATAAATTGCTAAAAAATAATTTGACAAAGAGTCTATTAAAATGTAATGAACAGATGAAATTTGGTTGATTAAATTATCTGCTTAAAGATATTTATATGAGAGAATATACAAATTATGGCAAGAAATGACATGATTTTAAGCAAAAGTTAAATCAGATTGCTTTTCTAATGAAAAACTTATGGAGCCTGGTACCTGGCTAAAAATTTACTTTTTACTAATTATTTTGTATACTATTATCGTATTTTAGAATTGATCATTTCAGAAAGTTTGATTGCATATTGAAATAACATCTGATGTTAATATAAATTTAAAAAATATTCAAAGGGAATGGCTCATGAATTTGCTGGTGCACCCGAGATGGTATCTTTAAATAAAATTTAATGGAATCTGAATTAAATAAACTAAAAGTGTTTTTAACTTTTCAGCCATTTACATTAAAGCTTGTCATAAAATAAAAAATGAGAACCAATTCACAACATAGAGTTATTTAACAATAATAATAATCAAAAGTAAAATACAATCTAAATAAAAATTATTGTCTTAAAAATATACCAACCCCTTGTGGCTGTTAGAAAATCAACATAAAAGTTTTAATAAATTGAAAAAAAACATTTAACTTGATTAAGGAAAACTACTTTGGTATTATTTATTTTCTTTTAAAATGTGTAATTATTGAATTATTTACAAAATCATTATAACAAGGAAGTTCAGTTTGTGATCAGTTTCTACCTAGTTGGTAAATTCAAGTTTTTTTCTTTTTATATCTATAATTTCTAGAAAGATTAGTGCAATATTATTATTTTTTAAATTCAAAAGATGTTGTCTACCTTTTATATAAATGTCTACCTTCTTTTTTTCATAATGATTCCTAAATAAATTTGATAAATCAGTTAGTAGATATCCAATGTCAATCTCATTGATTTCTCATTGACTAAATATTTTGTTATTATTAAAAATGATTAAATAAAAAATTCATTTTTTTAAGTAAAAAATAATTTAGTTTTTAATTCAAGCTTGGAAAGGCTACTGCTTGGTTTATTTATAAAAATTAAATCACAGCAATTGAGAAGGATGAATGAAAAGGATTTTTAATATTTTTTTTAAACTTAAAAAAAATATTTAGATTCGTTTTGAGAAAGAATTGAGAGACATTTATACAGAAAAAATAACTGCCCAAGAATCACTCGAACTATTTTTAAAGAACAATCAATTTTGTAGCACAATCTATGATGATGTCATTGAGGAAGAGGTATGTTTTTGTTTTTTTGTGCATACCTTTTTTTAGGTGCATACAGTTTTGTGTGTTTATAGGTTATAGACTTATAGGTGCTTAGTGATGTTAGTGTACAAATAAATTTTTAAAATAAAAATTAAATTTATTTCAAAGATTTAAATCATGTCATTTAAAATCTTGATTATTTACTTTATTATGAATCCAAACTAAAATGGAAGTAAATTTAAGGAATATTTTTAAAAGAATTTTTAAATTTTTTATTCTAGAATTCTAAAGATAAACCAAAAGAAGTTAGCGGTGAATTTAATGTACCTGATAAACAGATCCTTGATGATTTGTTTAATCAATATAGTGGGATTTACAAAAGATGTGAGGAAAACAGCAACTTGTTAAAAGGAAAAAATATAGACGGACACACTTCAGAGATTAATAAGGTTGCTTTCTTGTTATTTTATTTTTTGTTGTGAAATTTTAATAATTTTGTTATTTGTAAATTATTTTTTAATTCTCTTCAAATCTTATTTTCACCAGAAGTCACCAGAAGAAAATCCTGTTTTGAAAATAGATCATCAAGCAGATTGTCAAGTTGAAATAAAAGATCCAGCTATAAAAGATTTAGCTATAAATGATCCAGCTATAAATGATCCAGCTATAAAAGATCCAGCTATAAATGATCCAGCTATAAAAGATCCAGCTATAAATGATCCAGCTATAAATGATCCAGCTATAAATGATCTAGCTATAAAAGATCCAGCTATAAATGATCCAGCTATAAAAGATCCAGCTATAAATGATCTAGCTATAAAAGATCCAGCTATAAATGATCCAGCTATAAAAGATCCAGCTATAAAAGATCCAGCTATAAAAGATCCAGCTATTAAAGATCCAGCTATAAATGATCCAGCTATAAAAGATCCAGCTATAAATGATCTTGAAATTGCAGAAAGAGCTTTTAAAAGGTGCTAAAAATAAATAACAATTGAAGAGTAAATGTAAAATGGCACAGCCACATTTAAAAAATATTTATAAAAAGTCTTCATATAAAGCAAAAAAGTCTAAAAGTTAATAGAAAAAAATAAATGACTTGATTAATTTATCTGAAGCTTACATTTTTTATGAAATCTTTATTTTATAACTTTTATTACATTTTTTTTTTTCACTCTCTTTATACAAAAACTTTTATAAATGATCAATATATACTATAGACTATTAGGTCTATATTATATATATAAAATATATAATATAGACCTAATATGTGATTATGCCATTTTTTTCCCCTGTGCTCTTCAGTTACGTTAATCAAATAGTCTATATGGAAATTAAGTTTTAATGGGAAAGAATGTTTTTAAAAATAAATTTGTTTAGAGGTGCTCTCTAAGCCATATAGTGCTCTATATAAAAATATGTTATTTTAAGTAAAATAACATTAGAATGATTTATATATAGTAATATAACAATTTTGGATTGTTAAATATTTTTAGGGGTTGCACAAGACCCGCAATCATTAGGTGCCTTATATTACAAGAAAAAAAAAAACTGTAATAACAAATAATTCTAGGTCTCAAAAAAATCAAAATTAAATAAAAAGTTAAAAATAAAAATTTTCTTTTTTACAAAAATTATTTTTTTTAGATTTGATTCCATAAAGACTATAGTTTTTAAGCTAAAAAATTTTTTTTAAGTTTTACTAATACTAATTTATTAATATTAATTTTTAAATTTTATTATTATTAATTTTATTTTAGCCTTTTACTTTAATTACTTAATAAACTTTTATATCATAGATATATGATATATATATCTATATGATATATATATATATATATATATATATATATATATATATATATATATATATATATATATATATATATATATATATATATATATATATATGATATACATATATATATAAGTCATGTATATATATATAACATATATATATATATATATATATATATATATATATATATATATATATATGATATATATATATATATATAAACGCAGTTTAAGTTATGAGAGCAGCCATAAGCAGAGCTTAAATTATGTATTTGTATTTACAAGGACTTTAGTGTGACAGCAAACATCTTTTTCTTTTCTAGCATATTAGCTGTTCTTGTAAGCATTTTTTATCTTCACAGAGAAAACATTTGTCATGTTTATGCTCTCAGAGATAAATATGCATCATGTTTAGTTTTGTACCCGGTTAGGGTTGGTTTAATTTATTTTTTCGAAATACTTAGGTATATTAGTTTGTAAATCGATAGAGAAAATTGTAATATGTATTTTTTGAAGGCCCTATGTTAATATGGTATGTATGACTATGTTATTATAATATCTATAAAATGTTCATTTTGCAACAAATACAGAATGATTAAATGAATGAGTGAATATAGTTTTGAGAGTATTATATTTTCATTTTTTGTTTTAATGTTTTCATTATAGTCAAATCGAAAGTCTGTTAGATGAAATAAAGCATTCTTCTATTAAGCTTCAACAAATCACTGACGATGTTGATTCCTATAAAACTGAGATTGCTGATTTAAGAAAAGAAAAGAAAGATTTAGAAGAGCTATCAAAAAGTCAACTTGCACAAATATTCAATTTAAATGGTAGTTAATTAATTTAATTGGCAGTTAATTAATTTAAATAGTAGTTAGTTAATTTAATTGGTAGTTAATTAATTTAATTGGTAGTTAATTAATTTAATTGGTAGTTAATTAATTTAATTGGTAGTTAATTAATTTAAATGGTAGTTAATTAATTTAATTGGCATTTAATTAATTTAAATGGTAGTTAGTTAATTTAATTGGTAGTTAATTAATTTAATGGGTAGTTAATTAGTTTAATTTGTAGTTAATTAATTTAATTGGTAGTTAATTAATTTAATTAGTAGTTAATTAATTTAATTAGTAGTTAATTAATTTAAATGGTAGTTAATTAATTTAATTGGCATTTAATTAATTTAAATGGTAGTTAGTTAATTTAATTGGTAGTTAATTAATTTAATTGGTAGTTAATTAGTTTAATTTGTAGTTAATTAATTTAATTGGTAGTTAATTAATTTAATTAGTAGTTAATTAATTTAATTAGTAGTTAATTAATTTAATTGGTAGTTGATTAATTTAATTGATTGCTAATTAATTTAATGATAGTTAATGTAGGTAATGATCAATGAGTAGTCAATTGTTAATTCAGATTTCAAGTTTTAAATAAAAATATTTTTTTGTGTGTTTGTCTTTTACATTTGGTGTTTTTTAGTGACTAATGATATGTGCTATTGTTTGCAACTGTTAAATTATTGTTACACATGGTTTGTGTATTCGTGATGGTGTTAAATGTAAAACATTTATGCATGTCATTTGTGTGATTAGTGCATATTATTTGTGTATGTTGGTTTATTTGTGCAGGTGTTTGGTGCAGGTTATTTTTGTACATTGCTTTCTTTGTGCAGGTGTTTAGTGCAGATTATTTTTGTTCATTGCTTTATTTGTGCAGGTGTTTGGTGCATTTGTAACTTAATGGTCATTTATATGCATTATTTTATTCCATTTATTCTGATGGTTGATCAAAGTATTTAGTGCAGATAAATGACTCAGGTGATTGCCAGCAGTCATTTTTGCAGGTGGTTTACTTAGGTGATTAGTGCTGACTTCTAATTGAAGCCAATTTATTTTTGGTTTAGAAACCATTTCTTCTTTGACACACAATTTAAAAATGGCTGAATTATCTATTGAAAGTTTGAACAATCATTCGAAGGACATTGAGATTTCAAGATTAGAGACTGATTTTAAAGAAATGGAAGAAAATTTTTGTAGTGCAAAAGAGTCTTGTAAAGAGTTAAACACTGAAATTAATGAGCAGAAGATTCTTACTCAACAAAAAGAAATTGAACTTGTGTTTCTTAAAAAAAAGGTATTTTTTAATTTTGTTAAATATTACCAATATTTAACAAAAACATTCTTGGTTTGCATGTGTAATTATTTGAAAATTTTCTTGTAGACTTTTTTTGGAAATATTGTTGTATGCAGGCGCTGTTTTAAGGATGGACCAATTCAGTATAAAATCATCAATATTTTTTATCTTTTAGTTCCCATATATATTTTTATTTTTAAAAGATTGCTTATGATTAGCAAAAATTTTTGCCAATCAGAAGCAATCTTTTAAAAATAAAAGGTATTCAAAAGACACCATGCTGTCAAAATATATATGGGAACTAAAAGATAAAAATATTGATGATTTCATACTGAATTGGTCCATCCTTAAAACATCACCTGCATACAACAATATTTCCAAAAAAAGCATACTATGTCTACAAGAAAAATTTCAAAAAATTTCAAATAATTACACATGCAAACCAAGAATGTTTGTTAAACAAAAAATTGGAATTGATTTCTCTAAATGCAGACACGAAAATAAGTTTCTCCTAAAAAACTATAAAAATAAGTGAGCTCAAATAATAGTTACATTAAAATTTTTTAAAATATTTTTATAAAAAAAAGCATAAGTAATCATTTCTAAAGAATTCTTTTTATAATAGTGTCAGCAAATTCCACAAATGTGTGAAAATTTGGTATAAATTGAAGTTTTATTAATTTGGTCAATCATTTCTGATGAGTCTTTGTTGATAAAACACAGTGTAAAATGAAAAAAAAAATTTTGTAAAGTGATTTTCTACTGATTTATAATTGCTATGTTCTTTTAAGAACATTGAGCATTCTATTTTGTAGAATACATTTTTAAAATTGTTTAAATTGTGATATATATATATATATATATATATATATATATAATATATATATATATATATATATATATATATATATATATATATATATATATATATATATATATATATATATATATCTTTTGAGACCCAGCATGATATACTTTTGAAGAACTTTTTTTTTCAAAATATTTGGGACCCGTTTGATGTTTAAGGGTCTTGAGCGACCCCTTTTTTATTCAAAAATTTTTTAGTATTAATATATTACATACACACTATAAAAAAAAAATGTAACTTATCGCGCAATATTTTTTAAATTTTTTAATTATAAGTGACCAAACAGACCAGACATAAATTTACCAACAAAATTCCAGACAGTTATTCAGAAAAAGAAGAATAAACAAAGAATCATTAAAAAAACAAGTTATTTTTATTGCTGAACAATTTTTTTTTATACCTAAATGGCATTTGCCTTAACCCTAACTTCCAGTTGATGTATCTATTAATGTTTCCCCCACAGAATGACATTATTGATGACATTTCATGCAAGGAAAAAAAAAAAAAAATCAATTTGCTTAACATCGTATAACTGTTACATTTTAGTTTATTACATTTTAATTGTTATATATTATAGTTATATATACTTTAATATATATATATATATATATATATATATATATATATATATATATATATATATATATATATATATATATATATATATATATATATATATTATATATATATATATATATTTAAAGTTAATTAATAAGTAATTGTTGAATGATTTGCAATATTAATATAGCTAATTCAAATCAATTTAAAAAAAATTAGGGTAAATGAATTTAATTAAATGAAAACAAATAAATGATATATAATTTATATTTTTTAATTAGCTAATTGAACTGGAGCAGACAAATGAAACAATTGCATTGCAACTTAAGCATTCGGAAGAAGAGTGTGGTATTTTACAGAATACTTTAAATGACAAAGAGAATACATTGCTAGAATGTAATGCCATGCATATGCATTGTAATGAAAACCTTGAGTTGCTGAAAAAAGAAGTAAAGTTTTTTTTTTTGAAAATATTGTCTCAATATGTCGACATATTTTTTTGAGTTAAAACTTATAGTTAAGTTGATAAATTATAAAATATTATTCTTTGAGTTTTATTTGTTTTTATAAGTTGAAATAAACTTATAGATTACCATTCTTGAAGTTCGTTTACAAGAAAAACTTGATTTGTTATCTTCTAAAGCTCTAGAAATTGAATTAATTCAAACGGAACTACTTGCAACAAAGTATCTTTTATCAGAAGAAGAAAAAAAGTCAGAAGAGCTTGACAAAGCTCTAAAAAAGATAGCAGAGAATATGGAAGAAAAAAAGACAGAAGAGTTTGTTGAAAATCTAAAAAAGATATCAAAGAATATGGAAGAAAAAAAGATAGAAGAGCTTGACAAAACTATAAATAAGGCATCAGAGAATATGGAAGAAAAAAAGTCAGAAGAGCTTGACAAAAATCTAAAAAAAATATCAGAGAATATAGAAGAAAAAAATATAAAAGAGTTTGACAAAACTATAAATAACACATCAGAGAATATGGAAGAAAAAAAGTCAGAAGATCTTGATGAAAATCGAAAGAAGACATCAGAGAGTATGGAAAAAAAAAGGACAGAAGGGCTTGACAAAAATCTAAAAAAAATATCAAAGAATATGAAAGAAAAAAAGAGAGAAGAGCTGGACAAAACTCTAAAAAAAATATCAGAGAATATGGAAGAACATTCTAAAATAAACTTAGATGAAAATCATAAAAATGAAATTGAAAGTTTTAAAGTAGAAAATGACATGGTAATGATTTTTTTTTATTTTCGATTTAATTTATTTATTCAACTTTACTTTATTCATCACTTCCTTTTTTATTATTTATTTTGTTCTCAATAATGATAAACAAATATTAATATCCAAAGTTATGCATTGCGCACTGTATTTATAAATGCTTATGAACAAATAATGATAACCAAAATTTATGCATTGCACATTGTATTTATAAATGTTTATGAACAAATAATGATAACCAAATTTATGCATTGCACACTATATAAATGTTCGTGAGAAGTATTTTTTTTATTTTCATTAGTTTTCTTTGATGCTAGTTATATTGTATTTTTAATTTTTTTAGTTTTGCTTTTAGCATGCAAATCTAAACTTCAAGCTTCATGGTATCTGAGCTTTGATTTTTTTTTTGATCAGGGAGATTTTTTATAGAAGTATTATAATAAGAAATATTTTCCGAATTTCCAGAATTTCCAAACTATAAATAATTTAAATCTTAAAAATATAATTTAAAGTCAAGAAAAAAAAAAAATTAAAATTAAATATAAATAAAAACATTAACGAAGTATACTTTGTAAAAGTCGTGTTTTTTTTTTTTGTAAAAAGAAAAGTTTTGTGAGAACTTATTGTAGTCTTATTGTAATAAAATAAAAAAAAATTATAAAATATACAATTATAATAAAAATATATGTAGCAAAAATAAACAGTTATATTTTTTAGATATAATTTTTTTCATGCAGGGTTATGGAGGTGGTTTGCACTAGAAAAGTTTTTAATTTTTTTAGTAATTCTGTGTCTTCATGAGACATTTTAAAAATGATCTATACTGAACAAATTTTGAGTAAAAAATCAGTACAGAACTAAACAACAATATTAACAAGTAAAATTTAAAACAATTTTTTATAAAACCTTATATAAAAGCTTTTATATATTATCAAAACACAAATTTTGCAATAAATTTTTTCTAATTTTACTATTTTATTTTAAACAAAAAAATTTCAGGAAGAGACAGGTCTCGAACATTTGACATTCTGTTTACAGCGTCAACGCCTTATCCAAAGAAGCTAAACATAAGTATATGTAGGAAAACAATATACTTATTTTAAAAATTATTATTTCTCTTTCCATATGAAAATAAACTTAATTAAAACTAACTACATTGTTTGACTTATTGCAAAACTAATTATTGAATAATTTATTGTCATCAACCAATAGTATGTATGCAAAGTTTGAAGAAAATCATCAGGAAGTGAATTAAAAATTCGTCGTAAGATTTGATGAGACAAACAGACAAAGATGACGAGTTAATAAAAACATTAGAAAAAAGAGTCAAAAACGTTAAAGTTTAGTGTATACATTATTCAACATGTTGATAAATTAAATTTGAGAATTTAACTTATTACCTAAAACTCAAAACATGTTTCATTTCAATTTGCACATTTTATGATGTTCATAAAATTTTATGATGTTCATAAAATTTTACGATGTTCATAAAAAAATAAGTATCAATAAAATCATAATAAACATTAAAAAAACATTCTTATTAATAGTATTAATTATTAATTGTTATAATTAAGTATATTTATTAATTATTAATTATTATAATTAATTATATTTATTAATTATATTAATAATCTTAATATAGTTATGAACTTTGTTTTGCGTAAAAAAAAATTTGTAATCTTTTAAAACATTCTAATCTTTTAAAACATTTTAATATTTTAGAACATTCTAATATTTTAGAAAATAAAAAACTGTTCAAATAAGTTGCAGATGAATGCAGATGATTTGAATAATTCTGTTGATGGATTGAAAAATGCTACTGATAGATTCTGTGATATATCTAATGAGTCACAGTGTAATGCTGATGGGTTAGCGTGTTTAAACAATTTGATTGTTGATAATGAAATTTTTTCAAAGTATTTAGAAGAACAAAGTTATCTTTTAAATAACACAAAGCTGGAGAATCAGAATTTAAAAATACAGCTGCAGGAGCTTTATGGTAAATCTTGATTATTATCTTTAATAAAGTTTAAAGGTAATCATCTTTATTAAAGTTTTTTTACCTTTCATATTAAACTATGTTTATTTCTATATTTAAGCCTCTGACACTATAATATGTTTATACCTCAGACATGCTTTGTTTTTATGCCCTTACATTTTTGCCTGTAATTTACCTTCAATTCACAAAGTTATAAATTTAATGATTCACAAAATCATAAAAGACAATCACAGTTATCATTCTTAAAAAACTTAGTTTTCTCTATCCATGTTCTATATACCTAACTTTCATGTTCTAATTACCCATTATTTGGTGTTTGTAGTCATGACTTGCCACTAAATCATTTGTACCTATCTTTATCATTGGTAATAATTTTTTTTACAAAATATTGATTCACAAAATCATAAAAGACAATCACAGTTATCACCCTTAAAAAACTCAGTTTTTTCTATCCATGTTCTATTTACCTAACTTCCATGTTCTATTTACCCATTATTTGGTGTCTGTAGTGATGAATTTTTTTCCAAATTCATGGAACAACTACCTGTAAATAGATATTTACAGGTAGTTTGTTAGGAAATTTTGCCCCCTTCTAAACGTTTTTTTTTTTTTTAAATTTCCAATTTAGTTTACAAAGGTTATTCCTTTTGAAAAACATGACTTTTCAATCCTGCCCTTATTCTGGACTTCTTTTAAAATTTTTAAAATCATTGACACTTTAGCAACTTTGTTTTCACCACCACATTTCTCTATATGATTATAAATATGATTAACAGCTCCCTCCATTAGGTGTAACTCTGGCAGGAAAAGATAATCTGCTACTAAATGGTCGCTGGTTTCTGTGTGTATCAGTGGAGGATTATTAACGTTGCAAAAATGTTTAGCATTACCTATTATTGCACCTGATTGAGAAAATTTTGTGTGTTGTTCTTCTAAAGAATCAAAAGTTCTATACTTTTCTTCTTTAAATGGTTGCATTTGTTTCCATTCGCATATATGGCAAGATTGTGTAGCTCTTGAAGAAAAACCACACATTATTTGACAAACTTTAATATCAGCTACAAATGAAGGTTTTATTTTATCTAAATTAAGATTCATAAATAATGATACCATTTATTTTTCAGTTTTTTTTTACTAAGATATTAGTAAAAAAAATATTACTAACATTCAAAATAGATTCAAAAGATAGAGAAAAATTTTTTCTGTAAGATAATGTCTTTTTATTTTGAATAATAGTTTCCACCATTCTCACAAACATGATTTAATCGAATTGAAAAAGAATTACAACTTTCTAAGACAATTTCAAATCTAATTCTCTTTATTGCACAATTTAACTCACAGATTAACGTTTTTTTTTGAGCTTACTCGACTCCAATCAATAGCATGGGTAAATTCCTCCCAGATAGAAAAGTCTAATGGGTTCAAATCTGGGCTATTTGGAGGCCAACGTTCTTTAGGAATAAAATCAGGAAAATTGTCCTGACACCATTGTTGTGTCAATCGGTGTGTATGTGCTCGTGCACCATCCTGCTGAAATATCCAGTTTTCACAAATACTTTATTGCCATATTTTTTAACAACTGATAAAACTTCTTCAATATACCTTTCATGGTTAACGGTACCCTTTTCAAAAATAACTAATGGTGATACACCTTTTGAACACACTCCTAACCAAACCATAATACGTTCATAAAATTTTCTTCGCTGCTTGATTCCTCCGATGCTATCAGCTTCAACACCATTTGAAGCCCATATTCTGTCGTTTTAAGAGTTATAAATACCATCAATATCAAAAAATTTTACGTCAGAAAAAAGGATTCGCATCGTATCAGCTTTTTGATAATCGTTACGAATCCAATTTGCAAATTTAACTCTCTTTTCTTTGTGGTCATCAGATAATAGTGGTTGGACAACTTTTTTGCAGGATCGAAGCTGAAGAGGTCTTTAAGAACACGATAAACACTTAATTAAGAAATATCGAGTTCGTTTGCCAATTTTCGTGTAGAAATTGGCTTTTTTTTTCTTCCGTTTCAGCCAGTTTTTTATTTTTTGGATAGTTGCTTTTGTTCGAGCTGTGCAAAGACAACCAGAAGGTTTTGAAAGTTTGATTGTACCATCTTTGGCAATCATTTTGCACCATCTTTTGATTGTTTGTAAGCTAAGAGTGCCACTCAAATCACGAAAAATTTTAGTTGGACCATCACCATTTTTATACTTAGAAATTACAACATTTTGCGAGTCTTGACTTTTCATTGTTACTGATTTACTTGCGTGCGCGCAGAAAAAAAAAGAGAATGGTACATTATTCAGCACAAAATTCTCTATCTTTTAAGACCATGTGCGGTTCATACTTTGTATTACAGAGGCTAAAATTAATCAATACAAAAAGGTATCATTATTTATGAATCACCCGATATATTCATTAATATATCATTAATATAGAAACATTGGAGTGACTTTCAGGAACATTTGGAACTAAAGCTAGTAAAAAAGTAGCTTTAACAGAACCTTCTTTATATTTTGAATTCTGAGTTTCTTCATATGTACTCATTGTAGTTTTAGCTTCATAATTGTTTTTCTTAAGATCTAAACCTTCGCTTTCAAATTCTGACAGTTGGTTCAAACAGATCTAAAATTAGAAATTTTTTATTTTTATAAAGTGTTTTTTTTTTGTTTGTTTTGACTGAATCATAGTTCTCATAAACATATTTAGAATGAAATTATTTACTTTCAGAAAGCCTCTTCCTCCATCAATTGCAAGTTTGTTTGATTGCTTAACTGAAGAGAACTTCTTTAATCACAATAAGCAACTTTACAAACTCCTTAATATTGGGGTACTTAATGATAAGGACATTTACTTTTAAATTTCCTTTTTTAACATCAAATTCTTGATAATCAATAATAAATAAATCTTCAGGTGCACCATCAATTATCGGAAGTGCTTTTTGTAGGTTTGCTTGTATGCAAGTTTTCCCTTTAATTGATTTTCTATTTAAAATAATTTTTTTTCAAATTAAGGTTAACTATAATACTTAAAAAGAGTTAAACTTCAATTTCACCTGAGTTCTTTTGCTAGCTGTATCAGTATCTTAATGGACAACGCAAGTCTTGATTGAACCCTTAGTAAATCAATTAAAGTGGTCTGTCTCGGTTTATTTTTTAAGGGTCCTACTGATCTTTGTAAAGGTTTTGCTTCTGTAGCAAGTTTAATTCTTTTTGATCCTTGTTCATTTAATTTTTCTGAGATAACTTGAGAAGCAATCTGATCCTTAACTTTAGCTGAGAAGTTTTTCTAATATTTTTTTTTACAGCTAATGTTTTATTTCCACATTTGTGCATCTTCCCTTTTCCGATGTTTGAAAGACAAGATTTAAATATTTTTTCAAGGGGTGCATGCGACTTAGAAAACTTAAAAAAAATATATATATATACATATATATATATATATATATATATATATATATATATATATATATATATATATATATATATATATATATATATATATATATATATTGTATATATATTATATATATATACATATATATATATATATATATATATATATATATATATATATATATATATATATATATATATATATATATATATATATATATATATATCATATATATATACATATATATATATATATATATATATATATATATATATATATATATATATATATATATATATATATATATATATTGTATATATATTATATATATATACATATATAAATATATATATATATATATATATATATATATATTTATATATATATACAGGCTTGGTCGGGAAGCGGGAGCGATCGCTCTCGATTGCTGACCACGTAAATAATATTTAGTCATTTTGAGAACATTTTAAAAAGCAAATAAGATTAATTGGACCGATGAGAGACAATTACAAAAAAAAAAAAAAAAAAATAGACAAATAAAATATCTTTAAACGCGAAAAAACTTAAAGCTAAATAAATTATGCTTAGAACAAATATTTTTGAAACATCGCTCTTTATAATTTTTTTTATAAAATTAAGCGATATTTTTTATATAAAGTAACAACTTACGATTGTTTAAAAACGAAACAAATATTCTTTATTTAACAAAGTTTGCAAGTTTCGGTTTTATTTAAGCTAAATTATTTTATAAATAAAAAAGTTAATTTTTTTAACACCTATGTTTTGCGTAGTTTAAAAAGTTTAATATATTTGAAGCAATTCTTCTTAGTAAGATAAACAAATGAAATAATTAAATCATTGAATTGCTATAGAAATTAAATTAACAAGATAGAAATCAACTAAAAAGGTTAAAAATACTTTATGACGAGGAAGCGAAACTACTTCACAATATCGCTGATGATGTTTAGTGAGTGGGCTTTTTAATTTCAATTAGTATTTAAAGCAAAAAAAAGTATAACGAGTTTTAAGAATGGCAACTTAAGCAAAAATAATTAGAGTTAGTATATTAGATATTTAGAAACAATATTTAGAAACTTTTCTTTATATCAAATTATTTGCTGTGTTCTGTCGTGACCTGAGGCACGGTGCTTGTTCTTCTGCAAGTTACTTTGTATTCATTGTTTGTGTTTATAACCAAATACTTCTTACATTTTTGTTACGTGATTAGTTTTATTAACTTTGACGATTATAACTTCATTAAAAACGCAAATATTTTTGTAAGTCTTTGTTTAAATCATAAAAATTGCTTTAAAAGATAAAAAACAGATACACAAAATTACATTTACGTAAAGAATACATATTTTTTAAATAAAAAATAAGAATATACTAATAAAATCTATAATTTATCATAAACTTTTAAAATTTTGACAATTTAATTAATATATAATTAAAACATTTATTTTTGTAAACAAGTAATATATATTCTTAAAACAATTTATCCTAGAAATCTCAAAACGTAACAAATCGTGAATAATGCAATTTCTAAAACATTTCAACAGAATACGTGAGAACTTTATTTCGCGTATTTTTTGAACCAATAGAATTAGTTTGTTTGTTAATTTGGCAGGTTTTTAATGTTCGCAAATATTCTTTTTATTCTTTCGCACCAAGATATTTTGAGAACATTCAAGTTTTTTATGTTTCCATGTATGTCCGTAAAACAAAAATTTTTTGTTTCGTACATAAACTTAAATGTTCTCAAAACGACTAAAAAGCCTGGCCAGTTTTTCGCTAACTAAATATAATTTCTGTGGTCAGTATTCGAGAGCGATCCCTCCCGCTTCCTGACCAAGCCTGTATATATATACAACCCTTGGAATTAGGAAAAATGAGGTCGGCAATAATTTGCCGACCTCAATCTTTTTGAGGTCGGCATCAGGTCGGCAAAAATTATTTGATACAAAGGTCTGACCATAAAACATAGAAACTAGGTTGGCAATTTTTTGCCGACCTCAAACACTTGCAGGTTGGCATTGCCAATTGCCAACCTTAATTCCGAGGATTGTATATATATATAAACATATATATATATATATATATATATATATATATATATATATATATATATATATATATATATATATATATATATATATATATATATATATATATATATATATATATGTATATATATATATATATGTATATATATATATATATATATATATATATATATATATATATATATATATATTTATATATATGTATATATATTTATATATATGTATATATATTTATATATATGTATATATATATATATATATATATATATATATATATTTATATATATGTATATATATTTATATATATGTATATATATGTATGTATATATATATATATTATATATATATATATATATATATATATATATATATATATATATATATATATATATATATATATATATATATATATATATATATATATATATATATATATATATATATATAAAAAGAGAGAGAGAGAGAAAGGATTAACTCTTACTTCTGATCTTTCTTGGAAACCATATATCAAATCCGTTGCAAAATTAGCATCTGCTAAAGTTCCATCTCTTTATCGAGCTCGACACTTTCTTACTCTGGATTCTATTCTTTATCTCTATAAATCTCAAATGTGGCCTTGTATGGAATACTGTTGCCATATCTGGGGTGGATCTTCTAATGATACTCTTTCTCTTTTAGACAAGGTGCAAAAGCGCATTGTAAACATAGTAAGACCTGCTCTTGCAGCCAACCTTCAACCATTATCACATCGTCGTAATGTCGCTTTTCTTTCTCTTTTCTTCAAATACTATAATGGGCTTTGCTCAAATGAGCTAGAGTCTCTTGTGCCATCTACTAAAACTCATTTTCGTGTTATTGTCATTCAATTAGGTCTCATCCTTTTTCTGTGACTGTTCCTCTAGTTTTTTTCCTCCAACATCAGTTCTTTGGAATTCGCTTGCTTCATCTTGCTTTTCTGATTTATATAATTTGCAATCTTTTAAGTCGTCTGTCAATTGTTATCTTGCTCTACAATCTTCATCTTTTCTCTTCCAGTAACTTCCAACACTAATTAGAGGTTGCTTGCAGCCTTGTTAGAAGCGAAGATGTTTAAAAAAAAAGTCAGAAAATTTTTTTTTTTTGACAACTCGATTTTATTATTCAACATAGTTGTCTTTGAGTGAGATACGACAAGCATAGTGATTTTCCAACTTTTCTATACCACTTTTATAGTATGATTTCTCTTTCTCATCAAAATAGGCCTCAGTTTCAGCAATTACTTGATGATTGGACTTGAATTTCTTTCCAGCAAGCATTCTCTTGAGATCTGAAAACAGGAAAAAATTGCTGGGGGCTAAATCTGGAGAATAGGGTGAATGGGTGAGCGATTCGAAGCCCAATTCATTCAATTTTACCATAGTTTTCATGAATTTGTGACACAGTGCATTGTCTTGGTGAAACAACACTTTTTTCTTTTGCAAATGTGGCCGTTTTTTTGCACTTTCAGCCTTTAATCGATCCAAAAGTGCACAGTAATAGTTGCTGTTAATGGTGGTTCCTTTTTAGAGATGAATATTATTCTGTTCGCATCCCAAAATACAGAAGCCATCACCTTACCAGTCAACTGTTGCCATGGTGAAGCCATGTTTCATCCATTGTCACATATCGACGATAGAATTCAATTTTATTGCAGTTTAACAGCGCCAAACACTCCTCTGAAGCATCAATTTGTTGTTGTTTTTGACTGTGAGCTCACGTGGCACCCACTTTGCACAGAGCTTTCGCATACCCAAATGTTTGTGTAAAATGGTAAAAACACTACTATCTGATATCTTTACAATGTCAGCTAGCTCATTTACCTCCAATTTGTGATCGTTCATAACTAATTTATGGATTTTTTTGATGTTTACTGGAATAACAGCCTCATTTAGGCATCCGCTGCACTCTGCATCATTTGTGCTGGTATGACCACGTTTGAATTCAGCAATCCACTTCTCTACCATTTGTTTCGATGGAGCAGAGTCCAGATAATGTTTATCAAGCCATTATTTGGTTTCCGATGTATTTTTCTACATCAAAAAGCAATTCTTTATCAAAACTCGAAATTTACTTTTTTCCTTTTTTTTTTTTTTCAATAACAAAAGTTGCTTCACACAAAATGCTATAACTTACAAATCAATGAGATTGCTGACAAGATTATACACGTATCGTTTGAAGGTTAGTACTAAATAAAAATCATATGGAAAAAATTCTAGTAACGCCATTTGTGTGTCATCCTACGGACTTATTGAATGACCTGTTTTATATATATATATATATATATATATATATATATATATATATATATATATATATATATATATATATATATATATATATATATATATATATATATATATATATATATAATTTTTATGTCCTGCATTTGGGGAAAAATTCCAAAATTACTCCCTTTTGGCCCCTAAAACGTAAATATTTTGCAAAGGGGAATTTTATGATTTCAGTGACGTATCAAACCTAAATAATACAGTTGGTTTCGTTACTCATTGTAACGAATCCAACGATATATGATAATGGCCAGGGTCAAATCACAAAACCAAAAAGTGGTTTAAGGCATGTATGGTTTACATCCAACAAGTTTTTTTTTTGTTGCTGTTTTTTGCCTAAATCATTAAATTAAATCATAATTTTTAAATATCTTTTAATTTTTTTTAATTTTTTTTTTTTGATTTATTTTAATTTTAGCCACTATTATGGTTTATGACAATTCACTTGAAGAGAAAAAAAAGTTTAATGAGGAAATGCATGTCAGGTGGAAAACAGAAAGTAAAATAAAAAAGGAATTTGAACAAGAAATCTTATTGCTAAAGGAGCATGTTAAATTGTTAAAGTTAGTATAAAAAAATCTATTTTATAATAGTAAAATAATAATAAAAAATAAAAATAATAATAATAAATAATTATGATAATTTGTTGCAAAGAGATTATAGTTTGATAAAACTCGTTAAAAAATCTACTCAAAAATACAGAAATATTTTTATTAAAAATATCTTTAATCCAACAGAATTTTTGTGCTGAGCTTTTATTTTACTATTTTTTCTTTTACTAAACGAAAACCATTACATTTTTGTGTGTGCATTTTGTAAGTCAGGTTCAAAAACAAAACCGATTTTGTATAAAATGTGTGCGTTTTGTATGAATTCTGTGTATTTTGTCTGAATGGTGTGTGTATTTTGTATGAATTTTGTGTGTGTTTTGCATGAATTGTTTGTGTTTTGTCTGAATGTGTGTGTTTTGCATGTTTGTGTTTTTTTAAAATTTTATAAAAACTTAAATAGTTAGCTTAATCAAATTATTTTTTCTATATTTATATCTACATTGTATTTATATTAACATATTTATATCTACATTATATTTATATCTACATTATATTTATATCTACATTATATTTATATCTACATTATATTTATATCTATATTATATTTCAAGGCCTTCTTAAACAGGCCGCGACAGCTCATTTTCCGTAAAATTAGCGAAGGCCGACTTTTTTACGGTTAAAATTATTTTTTATCTTTGCTTTTGTAAACAAACTTCAGAAACAAATAAAGAGCTTAATTAGGACAAAACATTTTGATTGAATTTCGAAAACAAATATTGTAGGAATTTTTTTTACGTTTAGAAATAAGTTAATTACAATAAAAATTTAAGGAGTTTAGCTAAAAATGACTAAATCTCGTTTTTATAACTATATGTTTATTTTAGCTGTTTAACACTTGTAATACAAATAATAAAATTTTTGATAAAAACAAACAAATATATTAACTTTATTTTATTAAAATTATTTTGACTTTTTTGACTCAAATTATTTTATTTTGAAGTTGAAAGTTTTGCTTGTTTTATTAAACATTCCTTCCCAAAACCATCAGAGTGTTTTTTACAATAATTGTTTAAAAAAATGTTTGCCAAAATGCAGCAAACTTTTTTAACACTTTGAACAAGCAATTGAAATTTACTATTGCAGTTAATAAAAATCACAGAAATTTACTATTGCAGTTAATAATATCACAGTGGTGGTGAGCAGGAGGAAATATTGTAAAATTTGTATGCTTGTCTAGCAACTTTCTAGTTTTGTTGATTCTAAATTTTTGAATAATATTTTGCACAGTTGTCAGATATGTGCCACCTGACCCTTGTCGATATTTCCCAAACTGTTTTTCTAGTGCATCTGATTGCATATGTTCTAACAATACATAAGATACACCGCAATTCAACAAATACTTGGTACAGCTTGCTAATCTTTTAGAAGTTTTTTGCAAAGCACTTGCAGTATCCATTGTTAACTTTTTCTCTCTTAATTTTGAATTTACGCATTTCAAATTTTCAGCAAAATACGAAATATAATTCTCTAAGAAATCTATTTGCCAATCATTGACTGAAGTAATAGGCTTTCTTCGAATATCATTTAATCTAATATCTAGACCTTTTGCTTTACTGTTGACAATAAGCCACCACTTTTTTTTTTTTTTAATTTTAATTCACCTTCTTCAAGGCCGAGAAGGCCACTACAGACGAGGAGGCTACGTATTTGTGGTTATAACCCTCTCTCAACTCTATAACTCCGAAACACGAACCTTGACGAGCAAGGCCGCTGCGCGGAGAAACGAGTTGAGCGCGGTACTACCAGGGACGTGGTGGGGATCGAACTTGGAACCACTCGTTTATGAAGCGAGCGCTCTACCACTACACCACTACCGCATATAAACTTAACAACTGTTTATAAACTTACCGCATATAAACTTAACAACTGTTTCAATAAAAAGTGCAGTATCTTCAGCTTCAGGAAATTTTACACGTAATGCTGCAACTGTTTCATCACAAAAAACTTTAAAAACTAATCCAACATTTTGTTGTTCAATTGGTTTTGGTGACACAGCTTTTTGTGTTAATATAACTTGCTCGCTTAGAATCTGTTTCATTATTAATAACATAACTAACAACATTCTCCAGTTGAGAATAATATTTAATAACTCCTTTGTTTAAAAAAGACAGTTTAATTTGTAAAAGTTGGCTATATCCAGTAAAATAAATATCTCCAGAATCTTCTAAAGTTATATATATTGAAAACTTAGGTACTGGTCCACAATGTTCATATAATATTAAAGATATATTTTTTTCTTTTTCAACAAAATAAAATTTTTCTTCACAGTTATTTATTATTGACTTCAAATTTTTTACAATTGAATTAAATTGAATAACGTTCATTTTTTTGAAGTTTTCGAACTCATCAGGTAAATTATTTCTTTCAGAGCATATTAACCCAGTGACATCTCGTTTTCTAGACACTATTGGAATACAAGACACTGGTATACCTTTAAAGACTGATGGAGGATGCACTGGAACAAAACAACCACCTTTGACTTTTTTTAATTCTGCATTTTTAGGCCAGTGCTGAGCACAAATTCGCTTATAATCTGTAAACACAAAGTTTGCATTTGGAAGTTTTTTAATCCATAACTCGCTATTCTCGGATTTAAAGGGGAATCATTGTGACATAAACATTATCTTTTACTTTTGATTTGTAATTTGAGGAGCAACCATAAACGCAGCATTTATTAGGCATTTTACGAGTTTAACTATTATAGTTTAAATCAAACAACCAAAATCCTCATTGAAACTATACTTCTCCGTAAAAAAGTCTCCGTAAAACTATACTTCTCCGTAAAAGTAATTTTACGGAAAATGAGCTGTCGCGGCCTGTTTAAGAAGGCCTTGTTATATTTATATCTACATTATATTTATATCTACATTATATTTATATCTACATTATATTTATATCTACATTATATTTATATTTACATTATATTTATATCTACATTATATTTATATCTACATTATATTTATATCTACATTATATTTATATTTACATTATATTTATATCTACATTATATTTATATCTACATTATATTTATATCTACATTATATTTATATCTACATTATATTTATATCTACATTATATTTATATCTACATTATAGCGATGAAATCAAACAATATGAAATCAAACTTAAAACAAAAGACGAAGAAATGGAAAAATTAAATGAAGAGTTACTTATGCTCCAAAAAACACATCATTACCAACAGAGTAACATGTTGTTAGAAAAAAAGTAAAAAATAAGTTTTTTGTTCTTTCTTTTATAGTTAAAAAAAAGTAAATTTTATTTATTTTTATTTTTTCTTATTTTTATGCTAAATATCATTCAACATGTTAAATGTTGATTCTATGTGCTTCCTTTATTAAAATTAATCCAAGTTTATGGGAAAAGCTATAACAAACTTTCTTTTGTTGATTAATGCAGTATACTGCACCTGTGTTAAGACTAAGTCTTGGCTAATTTCCAAAAAATTTTAATAAATATAAAAATTGATAAATGTTAGATATTGAGTTTAAAAAAACAGATAAATATTGCAGTAGCGCAAGACAATTTTCTGTAAAAGAAGACAATAAAGAGTATTGATTCGTTTTTTAAACTCTGGTATTGAACTGATTTTCAAATTCTAATGACTAATTTTTCTTATATTTTCTAAAATTGATAGATTTTTTCAAAGGAAAGTCTTCAGAGGCAAGGTGGTACTCCTAAAATAGGACATATATGGATAAGAAGGGGTTGAGAGTTCTAAAATGAACATTGTGTATGACTGAGTATAACATGAAAAATTTCATGTTATACTCGTGTACATGAGTATAACATGAATTTTTTATTCCTTTATATGGTGTATGGTTATGTGTATATAATATAGTTGTGTGTGTGATATCAATAATTATAAAATACTGTTTTTTTTAGAGCAATTGAATCTCTAGAAAACCAGATTAAAAAGATTAATGAAGATCACAGCATTGCTCTTCACGAATTAAATACCACTCAGCTTTTGAACCAAATGTTACAGGTGGGCATAACCTTTTATTATTGTATCATAAAAGATATGCATCATATGCTGTGTGACATTTATATATTTATATTGTATATTATATATTCTTGTCATATATGACAAGAATTATCATATCATATAGCGTCTAACATGATAATTATATTGATATGCGGTCATTTGCTAGGCTGTATAGGTTACTGTATAGGTTATACTTTACTATAGGTTTTTTAAAAAACAAATTTTTTTTTTTTTTTAATTATTAGAAAGATATTAGAAATTATTCAGTGCAGCCATTTTGAGTGTAGAAATTTGTTTTTAATGACAAAAAGATGCCAAGGACCATGTAAATTGTTGCAATGTCTGCATGAGACATACCACTTTTAGCAAGACGTTGAATGCATGCTTTTTCTTCGTTACTAAGCTACCAAATCTTAGGCATGATTTTCAATGAATTAACTGTTTAAGCTACAAAATTATCTTTATAAATATATTTACACCTAAAGATAAAAATATAAGGTAATAACGCTGAGCCTACTGGCATGGAAACATTGATTTGTGTAAAATTGTGCCTTCTTGCAAGCACTATATATATATATATATATATATATATATATATATATATATATATATATATATATATATATATATATATATATATATATATATATATATATATAATATATATATATATATATATATATATATATAATATATATATATATATATATATATATATATATATATATAATATATCTATACTATACATATACATATATATATATATATATATATATATATATATATATATATATATATATATATATATATATATATATTTTTTTTCACAATATTATCTGAACACTTTACTTTCACAATAATGTCTAGCCATTTGAAGCTTGTTTTGAATATCTGTTGATCCGCCCAAAGCTAAACTGAATGCTTCACAATGTTTAAATTCATTTAATTTTTTTAACATTTAAATTTTTCTGTACAATATAATAAACAAAATGGTGAAGTATTTTGTTCTCGTCGTCATTTTTTTTTTTCACTTATTTTATGAAGTGTTTTTTCTTTATCTATTTTATGAATATTTTTCCACACAGCGTAAATAAACTTTTTGAAGTTGTATGCAGCTCGGAAGCAACAATGGCATTTTAAGACATTTTGATTTGATTTGGGCCATCCCTGGTCTTTCACCCCTGGTCTAATAAAAAATTACTGATATAGTAATTATTCATTAGACCATGGATGAAAGAAACTATTATTTTTAACATAACATTAGCAGTAAAAACTAGTTTTGTCATGTTACGAGTAAAGAAAAATTATTATTACCTTTATTGCATAAAGTTTAAATTTCTTCCTAGCTGTTGGCTAGCGATAAACAAAGTAAAATGTAAGTCATGGAAATTTACATGAATAAAATCATATTTCATCAGTAGCCAAACCAAACCAAAATCATGTTTCATCAGTAGCCAAACCAGAATAAAATCATGTTTCATCAGTAGCCAAACCAAAATAAAATCATGTTTCATCAGTAGCCAAACCAAAATAAAATCATGTTTCATCAGTAGCCAAACCAAAATAAAATCATGTTTCATCAGTAGCCAAACCAAAATAAAATCATGTTTCATCAGTAAAATAAAATCATGTTTCATTAAATTTACATAAATAAAATCATGTTTCATCAGTAGCCAAACCAAAATAAAATCATGTTTCATCAGCCAAACCAAAATAAAATGACGAAGGTAGGACTGAATGCAAAAACTCAGGACTGAAAAAATTCGAAAACTAAGGTAAAACGACATTGTTGAAATATTTTAATGACTTTATAATAAATGTTTAACAGTTTTAAAAAAGCAAGCTGTTAAGCAATATTGTTTTTTGAAAAAATGTCATATCGTTGCGTTGGTTTGACAAGGTTCTAACGGAAATTTTTTATATTAGGCAAATTTTAAAAAAATCTTTTTTTTCATGTTTAATTAAGATTATTTAAAATTATTGTTTTTTTATTTGTTGTATAAAAATACATAAATGAATAAAAAATAATCATATAAATAATTTTATTTAGACATTGAAAAAAAAAAATTATTTACTATTCTCCTAATATAAACAAAATATCAGTTAGAACTTCTTTAAACCAACACAACAATATAGCTTGCCATGTAAGAAGCAAGACTTTAAGATACCAGCATAATCAAAAGTTTGTCCTTGATTTTTGTTGATGCTCATTGTGTATGTTAAACATGACACTGATGACAATTTAGTGAATAAAGTAAATCTGAATATGATGGAGATTACAGGTTTATGATACAGAATATAATGGAGATTACATTTAGTGTATACAGTAAATCTAGATATGATGGAGATAATAGATTCTGAGGAACAAATATGTTTTTAATGAAAGAAACAACTGCTAAAACTTGTTTGTTTATTTAATTTTTTAGTGCACATACCAAACAGTCTGTTAAATAATTCACATTTTAATTTCATTCACAGCTGTATAACTATTTACATTTAAACCAATAAATTTACACATACATAGTTGTAACATTTTATAAATAATAATAACAATATACAAATGATTTGCATAGCAAGCTAAGATGAGCTAGAAGATTTAAAACACAGTTTTTATAGTAAAAGATTTAGAATCTTACTAAACTTACTGAACAAATTTTAATGTAAATCTGTAAAATGTAAAAATTGTATGTGTGTAAATAAAATGAATCCAACAAAGTGTCAGAAAAATATTAAAAGTCATATGGTTAACACAATACTTAAAAAAATATAACACCCTGCTTTTTTATATTTTATTGTGATCCAGTCCATGTTATACAAACTATAGAACAACTCAACAAAATAGCAGTAGAAACAACATAAAAAGCAATTTTCATAAGTTTTATAAGTTTTGTCATTCAATCGGGTGGATACGGAAAAATCCGGTCAACTTTAAATTGAGATTTCTCTAAAACCATAAATACTTTTTATTTCTTTTATGTTTTTACTTAAACGTTACTTCCTTATTTTTATTTGTGTTGATAAAATTTTGTTTACAAATCTATGATTTGCAAAATGTTTCAGAAACAAATTGATGTGTGTAAAAATGTTGTGAACTTTTTTTGCGAAAATCCATCGACTTCATAATGCTTGATTGCTAAATGTACAAATGTCCCAAAATCTACAGTCATAGATATTATAAATAAGTTCAAGACTACTCAAAGCTCCAAAAGAAAACCTGGAAATGGAAGAAAGAAAACTTTTCATATATCCAAAAGGTAAAGTCGATTTTATGTTCAATAGCAAAAAATCCAAAGCAGTCACAGCAAGATCTACCAAGAAAATTCAAAATTTTGCGTTCTTACATCATAAAAGTAGTTAAAAATGCTGGAATTAATGTGTTTCATAAGAAAAATACACATAAAAGAAGCTTAAATGGTAAAATCAAAGGAATTCAACATGCAAAGAAGTTGGTTAAAATAATGGCGGAGAAAATTATGTGCATAATTGAAGACGAAGAAACATATTGCAAGGCGGATTTTTCACAACTTCCTGGCCTATATTTTTAATACGAGAACAAATATAAACCTGTTGATCAATTTAAATATAATCAACGAGAAAAATTTGCATCCAAGTTCCTTATGTGGCAAGCAATTTGTAGCTGTGGTATGCAATGTTTTTAAATTGAGATTTCTCTAAAACCATAAATGGATAAAAACAATTTAGATTCTTGTTTTGTCATTAAGAAGACCTTGAATGCCAGTCTCTACATCAAAGAATGCCTCCAAAAAAGACTTTTTAATAATGAAAAAAATACAAATAACCGTGGTTCTTTTGACCAAATCTTGCTGCTTCTCACTATTTTATAAAAGTTCTACAGTGGTGCAAAGATAATAATGTAAAAGTTGTTCCTAAGGATGCGAATCCTCCAAATCGTCCTGAAGAGCGCAAGATTGAAGATTTTTGGACAGTAGTTAAAAGAGTTCTTCGTAAGACAGGTGAAGTAACAAAAAATAAAAAGGACTTCCAAAAAAAGTAAATTAATGCCACCAATAAGGTGAAAAAGAAAAAATCTGCAAAATGATGGCATCAACTTGCTATAAAATTCGATCTCTTGCTAAACAGCTCATCATGCCCCTTAAAATTAAGTTGAAACTCTAATTGATGTAAACACATTAAAAAGCATTTATGGTTTTAGAGAAATCTCAATTTAAAGTTGACCAGATTTTTCCGTGTCCACCCGAAAAGCATGTACAATTTTAGCATTTTCATTACAGTAATTAGTAGTTTTTAAACATTTTATAAAAACCGTTGTTGAAAATGGTCAGGGAAATTCATCTGATTTTTCAAAAAGTCATGGAATTTTATATAAATATTTGGCTACAAACCTTGTTAATGACTTAGTTGATAGTTGCAACACAGTTTGCAACAGTTTTAAAAATTAGTAATCTATTTCATTTTATTTATGATAGGCAAGAGTAAAGGAGTTGCAGAGATGGCAAAACAACATTGAAGTTGATTTTTTTAAATATAAGGACAACTTAAGTCCACATCAAATGATTGAAGAAAATCTGAAATCACGTGACAAATTTTTTACTGATTGCTTGGTACAAGTGAAAGAAAAAATTTCTAAGGTAATTCATTTTTTTAAATTTTAATTTATGACATAAATGTTATTATTCTTATTGTGACTTTAAAATGTTGGTTTTGCAGTTAATCTTGCGTAACTTTTTTTTAAATAATGCTCTAATAGGATTAAATCATATAAGCATGCCTCAATATTTTGACAAGTTGTCAAACTGTATTGTTTTTTACTTAAAAGAGCCAGAAAAACTTTGCACAGTTTTGTTATTATCATTTTTTCCACAATTAAATAAGATTGTTTGAAATTTTTTTTTTTTCATAAATTTTATTACATGATTGTTAACATATTTGTCAAACTTCTGTTTTGTTTGCTGTTAATTGTCAAACTTCTGTTATGTTTGCTGTTAATTATTAAACTTCTGTTATGTTTGCTGTTAATTATCAAACTTAATTGTCAAACAAATTATGTTTAAGATTTACATAAGACAAATTCACACTGCAAATTTCGGAGAGAAGCCTCTTTTCCATTATTTTTTTAAAACAAAATGTTGTGATTGCACTGCGTATTTTTCTTTAATTCCACTGTAACTTAGTTACAGTGGCCTTAAGTGAGCGTTCAATAAATTACCAAGAATTTTTTGTGCTTAATTATGGGTGAAGATCGAACCAATGAACTTGCCATTTTGAGTATAGAGTTTTATTTAGCATGAAATCTTGACTTCCATGATGTGAATAAAGAGTTTTTAAAACAAAAGATAAGAAAAATAACATTATAAGAAACAAAAGATACTTAATTATACTTTTATACCAGTAATTTAACAAAAATATTTGAGCTAGAATTTTTTTTTTTGTGAGACAAAAAGGGTTTGGGCCCCAAATTGAAGGTTGCTTGGGGCCCTTAAACTCAGTGCACGGCCCTGGCCTAGCCATACTTGAACATGATAGTATACTCTATATAAGTATTGACTAGCATAAGCAGATTTTGGAGGAAAACAATATAGTTGTACTCTTTTATTGTTCAGTGCATTTTTTACAAAACTTAAATATCTATACTTATCTATACAAGCAACTTTTTTGGAGCCCATATAGAGCAAGAACAAAATTGAATCCTGTCCGAAAATGAATCCTGTCTTGTGGATTAGAGTCGATCTTTTATAATATATAATAAAAACTTTCTCAGTGGGCATGCATCATCCGAGGGACATTCCTTGGACATATCATGGATGTCCAATCGTCCGCAAGACGTATTTTGCGATTTCTTTTTTTTTCATTCGCTTCATCACTGCAAAAAAATACATCATTTTTTGAAACAAAAATTGGATTCACACACCTGAACTCTGGTATGAGTTAGATTATATTAAAATGTACTGGCTTGACCCATATGTTTGTGTCTTTTAAATACAGCAATAGTACTCATCCGAGTATACACTTCATGCTGTAAAGTGTATACTGAACTGTCACAGACTTTTGACCTTTTAGGTACTCAAGGAGCCCAATATTTCCATCGACACTAGAGTCAATTAAGAATCTTATTCCACAATAAACAACTGTTTCACTTGTTGTTAAACGTTTACTACAAATAAAACATAATTTTTAAAAAAGTATTAAATAGTACAAATCATTATGAGAAATAAACTGCAAAAGCCAGGCGATAAATTGTTCAAGACAAACTGAACACTCTTCATTTGGTATAACATGATAAAATACTTTTAGTGTTTAAAACTTCGTTTTAAAAAGAAAATTTAGTTTAAAAAATCGCGCAAAATAATATTTGTTAATTATTTTTCATATCAGAGGTCATAAAAATAGGTTTAAAAGAACAATTATAATAACCTAAATTTAGTTATATGTAATTTATTTTAGAACAACTAAAAAATAAATAAAACCCCCCTAAAACTTTGCAATAATTTGTTTTTCATAATTTCTGCTTTTCTGAGAAAAGCCGCATAAACTTTTTTTTTTTTTAGTTAAATGCAGTTTTGTTGTAAAATGCACTAGCAAAAAAACTTATATAATAAACTTATTGAATAACTTTTTTGCAGATATGGAATCGGTAGGGACTTTTTATATTTTATTTTTAATAATATCCCCAACTGTACCAATTTTCAACTCTATGCAAGTTATTGCAAACCTACTACTATTTTATTGACTATTTTGACGGGTCTATTGTTAAATTTTATGTATGAGAGACATTTTTTATAAGTATTCCATATAGGAATTATTTTTTTTTTCAATTTTTCCTCCAACCTGTGTTTGTAAACAGACTCTATCTAGCTGAGGCGATGCCTTGTAAAAATACTCAGTAAGTCTAAAAATGCAAGTTAATGCCTAAAAATAGGTTAATGCCAGGATGGGCATTTGTTTGTATAAATTGACTTACCTCTTTCAAAATGTTGTTTTTTATTAATTAAAAAACTATATTATAGCACCAATTTGAATTGTATAAGTGTAGCGATTGTGATTTTTTGCTGGTTATTTTTAGGCAGTGACATTAGTGGGGTTTTTAATTTTTAATTTTTATTTTTTGTTGTATATTTTGACTGTCGTAAACTATTGTTCTTTATCTTCTTTTTTTCTTCTTCTTTTCTTCTTCTTCTTTTCTTCTTCTTTTTTTCTTCTTCTTTTCTTTATCTTCTTCTTTTTTTCTTCTTCTTTTCTTTATCTTCTTCTTTTTTTCTTCTTCTTTTCTTTATCTTCTTCTTTTTTTCTTCTTCTTTTTTTCTTCTTCTTTTTTTTCTTCTTCTTTTTTTCTTCTTCTTTTCTTTATCTTCTTCTTTTCTTCTTTTTCTTCTTCTTTTCTTCTTCTTTTTCTTTTCTTTTTATTATTCTTCTTTTCTTCTAATTCTTCTTTTTCTTTTTTTTTTTTTTTGTTGTACTTCTCTTATTATTCTTCTTCTTCCTTTCTTATTCTTTTTTGCTTATTTTTATTTTTCTTTTCTTCTTGTTCATACACTTATACTTCTTCTTCTTTTTTCTTCTTCTTCTTTTTCTTCTTTTTCTTCTCCTTCTTTTTTTCTTTTTCTTTTTTTTTCTTTATTTCTTATTCTTCTTATCATTGTTCTTCTTCTTATTCCTCTTCTTATTATTTTTATAATTATTATTGTTACTATTATTATTTTTATTTTTATTATTATTAGTAGTACTATTATTATTATTTTATTATCAACAAGTGTTAATTCACTCTTTTTTTGATCAGATATGTGTTTTTCATTATTATTTTTTATTTATAATTAATTTTTGGATTTTTAGTGTAGTGTTGTGTTGGAAAATAAATAACCTTGTTTTTTATGCAAAAATTTAAAGACTCTATAAATTTATCATTAATAGTATTTTCTGTAGATGTTTCAGTGTTGAGATAATATAATATAATAAGCAATATTTTTGTGATAGAAAAAATATTGTGGTCACTGATCACTAAATATTTGATAAAGTGAATTTATAAATATGTTGTTTTAACTTTAACAAGAAACAAACTTTAAAACTGTATTGATAAAATCTCTTCTAAAATTTTATTCATATTTTTTAACCCCTCTTAACCCTCTTTCTATTTATTTCTATCTTTTAATAAAATATTTAAGTGTTTTCATAACTTTTTAAGGATGAATTTAAAGTGCTTTATTGTCATTAGAGAATTATAGGCACTCTAAAAAAGGGTTAATTACTTTTTCTGAAATGAAGTTTCATAAAAATAAATAAATTTACATAAAGAAAATTTAAAAAAGTCCAAATGCTTCAGTAGCAACCATAAAATAAAATAATCCCTTTAATTGACACCTACAAATATTGTTTATGGTAAAAAAAAG